GCCCCGCACCGCCCCCTGCGCTCTCCCGGTGGTGGGCACACCCTCCCCACCCCCAAAATCCTCCGCCCGGTGTGCTCCGCGGGGGGTACCGCGTCCGGGGAGCCCGGCCTCCGCCGCCGGTTCCCGGGGCATCCCGTCGGAGCGGTTCCGAACGTGTCGGCTCCGCGCCTCGCACACTCCCGGACCTGCGGGGGTGAGGAGGGGGAAGCTAGGCACTGCCAGAGCCGCTGCAGTAGGGTGCACGAAAGCCCGATTCCCTCCTTATGGAGGGAGATGGAAAATAAACGGGACGGGGGCGCGGCCGGTTAGACTGCGGACCTCGGGCTGGTAACAGCGACAACTAAACACAAACGACAACATCCTCCCCTCTCCGAAGCTACGGAAAGCTTCACACCGYGCTCGGAGGTCCCTGAACTCCTGTAGCCCCCGCGCTCGACGGCTTTCTGGTCTTCCTCTCCCCACATAGAAGGAGGAGAACACGGGGGAAAAGTCCTCTCCTTGGTTCTGCCATTCCCGCCCCTTCCTGCAAGTGGGTTCCCAAAAGCTAGCCCCTAAGGAGGCTTTTCCATCCTAATTTTACAACTTACACGCACAGTAATCCACGGGATCTTTCCCCCCTCTCGGCGTGGACCCGGAGGGACCGTCCCGCTCCCCCGCGGTGCCCGGAGCAGCCCAATAACCCGCACCCACGCGAGCCGTTCACTGAGTTTGGCCAAGCCCCATACAGGGCCGGGAGCCGGCACACAAACCTCTCAGACCCCTCTCCGAGTTTTGGGGACAGGATTTGACCCCTCGGGCAGCGGCAGTAGAGGGATGGGCTACACTGTCCCGCAGTCCCCGATCATGGAACAGCTTATAGCTTCGAAGTGAGGCTGCTGTGAACCCGTGTCTCGCAGGAAGGAGGTGCGGGGCTATTTCACGCGCGTCTAAGGCGGGGGGCAGGTTGCCCTCCCATGCTGATCAGGTTCTCCTGGGGCAGAGGAGTCTGTCCCCGAGCCCTGACCCACAGAGACCACACTGCCCCAGGGGAGTCACCGCCGTGGTAGGGATGGGGATTCCGAAGGAGCCCAGGAGAGGGAAATTGCAGGTTGGCGTCTCTATCTTCAACCTATCTGGCTGTCACTGGTATTGAAAAGTAACCCAAAGCTTTCCCTTGATGTGGCCCTACATATCCACATCCCAGCGCCCAAAGTTTTCTGTGTCCCGTTTCTGTCCCGTCCACCACACCCCACCACCACCTCCCGCAAGGGTCTTCCTTAGTCACTGATTCTCGTTCGAGGTACGTATCATCCATCGCAATCTTAGTTATCGCTAAATTATACATATTACTTTCGCAGCCTGTTAGTAAAGAAGGTTAAATTAATTTACATTCTGCTCATTATCTGGTGTTTAAATGACGTGTTTTTATCCCTGAGATTTGGCAAAGAATCTCTTTCCTCAGACCCCACAGCGTTTCGATGGAGACAATGCTCTTACATTTGTAGTGGATTTTAATCTGATAAGACTCTAATTTGCTTAAGTCTTTTAAATAGGGGGTTTAAAATGATTCTAGCCGTTTTCTTATTGAATTTCCTCTAATTCCCCCAAGATCATAAAGTATATGTGTAAAGTAAATATTTCCTCCCTTTGCACCGGCAGCAGATGACCTATAACTAAGTCAATATGAATCCAGCTCCATTCTGCACAATTTGTTTACCAATCATATCCCAGTTTCTTCTTAACCTCTCGCTACCTCTGTGGTCCCGCACCGAGAACCACCCCCCCGGCCTTTCCCCATGGCGGGGCCGTGCCAAGACCGCGGGCAGGGCCGCGGGCAGGGGGCTGCCCCAGCCCCGGCCGAGCAGGCGCGGCCTCGGCCTCTCTGCGAGGGGCACTTGGGAGGGGGCGCTGCCCTTCTCCAGCCCCCACGTCGGGGTTATAACAAGTGTGCAAAGCCCTGC